TATTTCACTCTTCATTCTTCTTTTATTTTCCTTCATTTTCTCTTTCCTATCTTTATTCTCCTTCTTTCTATGTTTCGTCTTCTCTGTACGGTTCTTCTCTCTCTTTTTTTCGCCCTGTCTCTCTCTCTCTCTCTCTCTCTCTCTCTCTCTCTCTCTCTCTCTTCCCCTCTGACTCTTTCCCCGCTCACCCACTAGTATTCTCCCCTCATTCCTCCTCTCGCTAGATGCACGCGGGCAGCGCGAGCGCTGCTGGGATGTCGTCGGGTTATTTATAGGAGGCTGCGCGCGCGTGCGGGCAAATCTTGCCGCGTGTTAAAACGCGAGTGGATTCGTGAAATAGGCCGCCTTTGACACGCCGGCGACATATATCGTCCGGCGCGGAGTACTGCACCCATGTGTAATATCCCGTCGGCCAGTTAGTCCATGACACATGCACGTTTAATCGATAAATGTATGTATTGTGTTAAAATGTTCATCGTCTTCACGTATTCGTTTGAGGTAATTTTAATGTATCAGTACTTTTCCTATTCCCAAACCACCCCATTGTCAAAGTATTTTGCTTTCAGTTGGTGTAGTTTTGCCAATTTATTATTGTTTTTCTTTTCGACAGTCTATTTTCTATTATTAGGTATCTAATATGTCGATTGATTTATTATGTTTGTCTCTGGAATTCTTGCAAAAATCTCTCAACGTTAGTGCCCTCAAGTTCGCTTTGACTCTTCGTTATTAACTCAAGTCACAACTTCAAAGACAAAATTCATTTTCAGAAGAGTTTTGATTGTTTCGTCAGCACTATTTCAAAATATACAAAATACAAAAATAATATAGTATTTTATTGCGCCGAAACCATTTCTCTGCAGACACAACTTCAAAATAAATAAATAAATAAATAAATAAATAAACATTAAACCTATTCAGCAAATGGAAGAAGAGTATTCAAGAACTAGAACAAAACATGAGAAACATTACTTCCGCAGTATATAAATATCTAGATTTTCGCAGCGTCTTTCAATGGTGCCGCGCTCCCGCTGCTAGCTTTATGCGCTTGGCAAAAACCTTTCTCTGAGCGCGAAGCGGGGCGCGGCCTTTGATGTCTCGGGTTCAAGTCGGTGGCGGAGGCGTCTGAGGGATTATATTTCCGCCCGCAGCTGCGGCAAATTGTCGCTTTTGCAGTCGACGGCTGTGACTTTCCGGTAGTTGAGCCTTTTGCGTTTTTTTTTTTCGAGCTATGTCGATTTCATAACGCAACAGAAACAAATCTAAATGTTACCCTTCTTCAAAATTTTCCTTGTTTTAGAAATGTGTAATCTAATTATATCTGCGTTCCGGAAGGGTTTTGCGAAATTGGCGATTTTACAGCACATGCGGTAAAAATGTAGAACCTTTTGCTGCTGAAATATAAAACGCGAAGTACATATTAACTTATAAAGTGAATACAAATTCTAAGATAACATGTCATTGATTGTTAGAGGCCGGGCACATCAACTACGAAGGTCATTAGGCCGGGGGATGGCGGTGGTCTTCCCGTGCTGTATGGTGAGACCTACCTTCGGCTAGCGGGGTTTTCCCAACCAGGTATCTCCCACGAGTGTGGCGCCGGGCTAGCGGGGACACGTTCCAACCTCCCGAGTGTAAGTGTGTGTGTGTGTGTGTGTGTGTGTGTAATGGGTGAGGATAGGACGAGGAAGAGGAAGGTGAGATCGCGTGCGGTCCGTGGCCCGTTTGTTACGGTACTGCTCCGGCATTCGCCTGGTATTGCTCGGAGAAATCACGAGTAACTAATGATCAGAGGATCCGGCCGCTAAACAATCACCGCTAAACATGACATGTGACGTCTTTTCTCAAAAGCTCATGTCGTGATGGTAATGAAGTTATTTTCCCCCCAAATCATTATATATCTGAAAAGAACCATGACATGTGCGTGTTGAAACTAGTCACCCACATCCGGAAACAAGTCCCAAGTGATAAATTATTAAAGGGTGATGATTAATGGTTCTACAAGAGAACTCAACTCAAGATTTGTTTTTGCATTGGTGTGTGTGGATTTCAGAAACAAAATCTCACTCTAGCCAACTTACATCGCACTCTCAAATGCAACGTTCGGGAGCCTAGATTAATGTAATAAACTCATTAACGTCATATCAGGGAAAAAGGAAATACATAATTTAATCACATGGAAGAATACATTATTCCCTTAATTTTTGTTCATTAATTCTGATTTTAACTCTGCAAAATGCTTTTACAGCCTGAGATCATCTTTCATTTACAGTTTAAATTGCATATTGACTTTGTTGGTTTTTAGTTCAAGGAAATTCTTGATATCAAAATTAGTTAATTCGACTTCACGTTAGTAGATTTTAAGAAATGCATTCATTCATTCAAAAGTTTATATATCCTATTTTTTAATTTATACTTTTGATTTTGATATTATTTTGTTATAAAGTTTTAAATGTGGAGAGATGAAATAAAATTTCTTAGCCAACTCATTAAAGAACGGATACTTATAGACATTTTGTTAGCTACTATTAATAAAAACTGTAAATACGACTTCATTCGAACAAACTTTAAACATTAAAGAGGGATAAATATTCTTCTTACCATCTCCGAGCACTTGATTCACTTCTTTGAAGAAATCGTGCCTATGGAATGTAGGATTTTGAGTTTATAGAGTATGTTGCAATTTTTTTTAAAATTGTAGTTTTGGAATGTAACGTCTGTAGAAATATTGAAAATGAATATTTGGCGGATGCGTTTCCCGCCGGCGGATGGTCTCCTTCCGCCAGGTGGGGCGCCTGCATACGCAGATGGGGGCGGACGGTGGGTCTGAAAGGCAGGGGGCTACGTAGCGGACGGACTTGATAAATTAACCCGTAGGCTTCCGTAGGGCCGGAGTCAATAGAACATCGTTGTCCAGGAGACGCCGCGTCCTGAGCATAGTTCCCAGCGCTTCGCCATTCTTCAGGAGTGAAGTCTTGTATTATTTCGCCCTGAGGAAGGTCTCAGTGAGATGGGGGCTACCGTTGGAAATTGCGCGTTGGACGCGGCGCCCCGGGAAGCAAGTATCTTGAACGGAGGAAGGCGGGAGGGGGGAGAAGGGGGGGGGATGCACGGGTGTGGGAGTTCCAAGCGGCAGGCGGGTGCCGCCGTCGATACGCGCCCTCGAAGCGCCCCACCCTCCCACTGCTCGGCCGCCACCTGCCCTCAGCCGTCATCGCCTCGCTTTCAAGCGATCCGTCCCCGTGGACCTCTGTCTTGGCGTCATCTGGCTCCGTTTAAATCGACCCTCCTTTCCTCCCGCTCCGTCGATCGTCCACTCTCCTCCCCATCCTCCTCGCACCAGCTGAGATAGCTCAAGGCGACACAGTTGTCACTGCAGCGTCTATCTTCGGAACATTCTAGGGTTCGAGGTCTGGCGGGGCGGATTTTCGACACTAGCAAGAAAGCTAGGTCGGATTCGGCCGCTGTCTGGCGCCCCGCCAGACCTCGAACCCTAGAATGTTCCGAGATAGACGCTGTCAGTGACAACTGTGTCGCCTTGAGCTATCTCAGCTGGTGCGAGGAGGATGGGAGGGAGAGTGGACGATCGACGGGCGGAGAAAGGAGGGTCGATTTAAACGGAGCCAGATGACGCCAAGACACAAGGTCCACGGGACGGATCGCTTGAAAGCGAGGCGATGACCTGCAGGGCAAGTGGCGCCGAGCAGTGGGGGGGGCGCTTCGAGGCGCGCTATCGACGGCGGCACCCGCCTGCCGCTTGGAACTCCCACACCCGTGCATCCCCCCCCCTTCTCCCCCCTCCCGCCTTCCCCCGTTCAAGATACTTGGCTTCCCGGGGGGCGCCGCGTCAACCGCGCAATTTCCAACGTTACGCCCATCTCACTGAGACCTTCCTCAGGGCGAAATAATACAAGCCACTTCACCCTGAAGAATGGCCGAAGCGCTGGGAACTATGCCTAGGACGCGGCGTCTCCTGGACAACGATGTTCTATTGACTTCCGGTACGGAAGCCTACGGGTTAATTTATCAAGTCCGTCCGCTACGTAGCCCCCTGCCCTTTCAGACCCACCGTCCGCCCCCATCTGCGTATGCAGGCGCCCCCCCCCCCTGGCGGAAGGAAACCATCCGCCGGCGGGAAACGCATCCGCCAAATATTCATTTTCAATAATTTCTACAGACGTTTACATTCCAAAAACCTACAATTTAAAAAAAAAATTTGCAAAAAAAATAACTCTTATTAAAACCTTCAAAAAATTCCTTACCAATTCCATAGAGGGCACGATTTTTCTTCAAAAGAAGTGAATCAAAGTGCTTCGGGAGATTGGAGGAAGAAGAAAATTATTTATTCCCCTCTTTTAAATGTTTTTTCAAGTTTGTTCGAAATTTGAAGGGTTCGTATTTACAGTTTTTATTAAATAGTAGCTAACAAAATGTCTTATAAGTATCCGTTCTTTAATGAGTGGCTAAGAATTTATTTCATCTCTCCACATAAATCTCTCTCTT